AAGGCGTTCATCCACTCTAGGGAGCTCTGCTCCCATAACTCAGAGGCCTCCCATTGGGTCCCACTTCCAATGCTTCTGCAGAGAGGAATTCCCCTGACCTTTTGGGGACCCACCCAAACCTTGGTTCAGCTTGAACCCCCAAACTGGGTTTTTTATTAAACATTTCTGAAGGTCATTGCTATAAGATATAATAAAATCTGACGCAAGTTTTGGGATTGTTGTGTATACATTTTTCCCATCTACAAAATATTTTAAAAATCCCGAGAATGGTATAAAGCAGAGTGTTGACTCTTTCTAGCAACAGTCATGCAATAGTTGGTATTTTGTGAATCTTGGGGACACATGAAGCAATAATTACCTCAGATACCAAGGACAGACTAAAAGTTCCAACTTTGTGAACCAGTAAGTTTATTGGACTTAGATAGCATGGCTGAGGGATTACTTACATGTGTGGATAACCACTCCCCACAGAGCTGCACCACCAAAAAGTCTCACCCCAGCATAGATAATTTCTAATTTATCCCCCTTCCCCCCTTCATTTAACTTACTGCACTTCATAGTCTCTGACACCTATTGAGAACACCATGGCATGTGCAGCTTGGGCAGAATTACAGTAGGAAGGAGTGCCTGGAATCCTTTTTTGTTTGATACAGGGTTTCTCTGTAGCTTTGGAGGCTGTCCTGGAACACACTCTGTAGACCAGGCTGGTCTCAAATTCACAGAGATCTGCCTGCCTCTGCCTCCCGAGTGCTGGGATTAAAGGAGTGTGCCACCACTGCCAGGCATGACTGGAATCTTAGATGAATGTCTAATGACCTTCCCAACTCCTTTCTTCTATAAGAAAACACCAGGGTCAATCATTTAAAAAGCTTGTTGTTTGAGAATGCCATATGTGTACTTTGATCATATTCCTCTCCTGTTACCTACCCTCTTATCCCCCTCCCATCCCTTCTGGACCACTTCTCAAAAAGTCCCTTTTGTACTTCCATTTTCTCTAGGTCCACTTAATTTAATTAGGGCTTTTTGCAATAAGTAAAAGGGAGGGCCTATTTATTGGAACATGGGGAACTCACCATTGGCTATACCACTGAAGGGGAGAATAAAAAAAAATGACTCGTCTTCCTGAAGTAGTCACTCACTACAGACTACCCCTCTGCTGGGATGGGGCCTCATGTACCCCTCCCCCACCTGTGATGGGATGTTTATAAGCCATGGGTAGGTCTTGTACAAATAACCCAGCTGCTCTGAGTTCATGAGTGCAATGACCACGCTGTGTCCAGAACACAGTGTTACACGGCATTCCTCCTCATCCTCCAGTATTTATGATCCTTCTGTGATATTTCCTTAGCCTCAGGCATGGTAGAGAGAGAGAGAGAGAGAGAAAGAGAGAGAGAGAGGGGGAGAGGGAGAGGGAGAGGGAGAGGGAGAGGGAGAGGGGAGAGGGAGAGGGGAGAGGGAGAGGGAGAGGGGAGAGGGAGAGGGGAGAGGGAGAGGGGAGAGGGAGAGGGGAGAGGGGAGAGGGGAGAGGGAGGAGTGTCTGTGTGTGTGTGTGTGTGTGTGTGTGTGAGACACAGATGTTCCATTTAGGGCCCAGTCATTAACAATCACTTGTTCTCAGCACTTTCACCAGTTAGGAGTCTGCATTAACCTCTACTTACTGAAAAAGATTTGCTGACCAAGACTGAAAGTAGCACTATGGGTATAAACATATTTAGAGGGCAGTTTGACACCATTTGCATTTTTATTTAGCAAAAAGACAGTGGTAGGTAGGTTCCCTCTTAGAGCCTATGATGTCACCAATCAATGGGCTTTCAAACAGGCTTATAGTACCCTGTATGAATTCTTTGCTGTGGAGAAGGCTTTGAGTCTAGTAAGAAAGTCAGTACTTGTTTCCATTACAGTCTTGTCACTATTGTATCAGTGGGCACATCCTTATAGGATGGTCTTTGTTGTAGTCTGCAGGGCCTGCCACTGGGTAGCACCTCCCGGCTCTATGACAGGTAGCCAGAGGCAAGGAAGCTTCTGCTTGAGTTCTAGTGTGACTTCTGTATGTCCTGCAACCAAAGTGTGTGCTATCTTTAGCAATAAGATCTTACCTAACAGTCCTGGTGGATAACCCATAGCGAGGGAAGCAGGCTTGTTGCTGGGGGGAGTCTCTGGGGCTTCCCTGATCCACACTCCGAGTGAGGTATTACACACACTGGCCCAGTCTTGTGGACTGCTTGCCCACAGTGGCAGCTGCTTTGAAGACTGTAGTAAGGTCTGCTTTACTTAGAAGAGAGCATTCTACAACAACTGCACGGAAAGTTTGCTACACAAAACTTTCCCATAACTGGGGGTTTCTGCTATATGTGACTGGCGTTCTCGTGGAACTCTTCCCTTCCCAGCCCTTGACTGCAGGATTCTCTGTAGGTGAAGTGGTTAAAATGTGCCCCTCTACTTCCAGACCTGGCTATTGTTACAGTGTCTCATTTTGTTTCATTTTTCTTTTTGACCATTTGATTTTCCTTAATTACATCGCTGCCACAGATACTTGACTTTAAGAATAGTACTGAAAAAGAAACATATGATATTGCTTTGGTAATGCCTCAGGGTTTATCCTAGGTCAACCAGCGGATCACCATAGTAGGCTTTCAGGTAAAATATGTGGAAGAAAAAACAAAACAAATGTTTCATCTGGTTTTGCTTCGAAAGGTTTTAGCAAGTACCACAATCTATAATTTCCTGCTTATAACTAAGATGTCCCTTTCTCTGCAGGGCGGTGGAGGCGCACGCCTTTAATCCCAGCACTCGGGAGGCAGAGGCAGGCAGATCTCTGTGAGTTCGAGGCCAGGCTGGACCGACAGCCTCCAAAACAATACAGAGAAACCCTGTCTCGTAAAAACCAAAAAAAAAAAAAATGTCCCTCTCTCCTGCCTGAAACCTCACTTCTCAGGGAGAAGGGAAATGATAAGCTTGGCTTTCCATACTGTACCATTCCCCCTTACCCACACGGCAAAGACTTAGTATGAAAAATGCTTTCTCACAAAAGAGAATCTGAAATATGAAAGTTTTCGTTGTAAAAGATCGAGGCTTCCTGAGCACAGAAACTGACGCTACAAGAGAGACAAAAAGATATCAGCAGAGTGGATGTGTGGGGCGGATGGCAGTCAGGTTGAGTGATACCAGCCAACCGTGTTGGTTTGCAATACAGCAGACTGGAAAGCACTCCCTGTCTGCTTTGTTGTGACATTATGCTGAAGACTTTTGTTGAGCTGTCTTTGGTTTGTCTTTTCCTCCGCTAGCATAAGCTATTTTCATACTGATTTTGTTTTATCCTTACAAGTTATTGGAAGAGGCTGAAAATTGAATTGCCACCTAGATTTCTTGCGAGTTTCAATTCATAAACTTCCAGTCAAATATTAATGAAAAATATTTACTTAAGTGTTAGAAATATAAACATTCTCCCTACATCTAATTAAAAAATATTTAATCCTCATATTTATATTTGTGGTTAGCGTTATTTACTGAAACTTGCCTGGCCTGGTGATTCAGACTGTGATTCCTACCATATAGGCTGTTGAGGCAGGAGGATTACAAATTCAAAGTCTGCGTTCAGTGTAAGCCTGGGCAATTTAGTGAGACTCTCAAAAAATAAGAGGGAGGGCGTTAGTTGTCTCAGTGATAGAGCATTTGCTTAACCGCAAATACAGCGCTTGTTTATCTGAGGTAGATAGCCTATAATGGGTGATTGGGAGCGAAGGACAATGTATTTTGTAGACATTTCTCTTCCATTTATTGAGATAAGTTTAACTTCATTCTTTTCTAGTACTGGGTCTTTGGAAGATCAGCCTTTTAGACCAGACTTTGGGATATGTTGTTCGAAGAGATACATGATTACCTAACCTGAGCACCTGTTCCCCCGACACACTGGCCCCTTGTACTGTGGACTGAACATAAAAACTGAATGCAAGGTTAGATTCTATTACTAAGTCTCAAGTCAGCCCCAACTCCTGCCTGTCTCAACTTCCCCAATAGCTGGGATCACAGGCCTGTGGGGCTGCGCCTGGCTGTACTGTCTTACACAATGTTGCTGTGTTACTCATGAAGCAGTGCTTTAACGAAGAAGCTAATTCTCTACTCTTTCAAAGTGGTCAGAGTGGCCTGGGATTCCAAAACCAATGGTTCCAGTTTGAGTTTTACAACGTCACGATTTAAGTCACGTTTAGTGCCCATACTCCTAGAGCTTCATTTGAAAAACAAAAAGGCTAAAAAAATGTGAACCACAAACCATTATTTTAAGCACCCAGAATCCGTGGTATAGCACTTGGGGTCAGAAGGCGGAGACCTTAACAACCTGGTCCTGATTTGCTGGCACCTGGAGGGCCGTCCAGACTCTGTTCAAGGCCTTGACACCCTGGCTGAGCAACGATGGCCTGAATGCTCTGTCCCTTGACTCTTGGCAGCATTTCTGAAGCTCTCGCAGTTCTCTGCAGACCTCGCTTAGCCTGCCTCCCACGGCTCCAGCCAGAAGCCACCAGGGACCTACAACCGCTCCCCTCTCGCGCGCCGCTCCTGCGAAGGCGGGGCTGGGCGGGACTTAAGACTTTCTCGGCCCTGCCAGCCAATGAGCGCGTGGCCTCCTTTCCGGCCGGCGAGCCGACCAATCCGAGCCGGCCTGTGTCATCTTCGGCTCCCCTCGGCTTTTTTCGCTGATGCGGGCAGCTTGGGGGCCTCCGCCGCTGGAGAGACCAGACGCTTTCCTTTTTTTTTTTCTCTTTTCTTTCTTTTTTTTTTTTTTTCCTCCTCTCATGTGTTCACTTCCGGGTCCGGTGCCGCTCCGGATGCTCGAGGCCGAAGGATGTTTGACCTCCGGATAAGCGAGGCGCCGCCGTGCATTCATTCCCGGTTGCACCGGTGGCCACAGCCGCGGCCCGGCCGACGACCCGGCGCTCAGCGGCGGCAGTAGGAGGTGCCGGCGGCGGCGGCGGCGCGCCGAGCCAGTAGACGCGGGCCCGTCCTTTTCCTCGCTCGCACCTTCCTCTCCCCGGCCTCGTTCATCTTCTGCGGCCGCCGGCGGCGGGGATGTGCCGGCGCTGACGGGCGGACGCGAGCGCCTGGCCGAGCCCGCTGCCCGCGGCTGCGCCTCTTGAGGTAAATTCCGGTCCGCGGAGGCCCGCGCCGGCTGGCGGGGCGAGGCAGGGGCGCGGGCGGCGGGGCGAGGCCGGGGCGGGCGACGCGGGGGCTGCGGGCCGGGCTGGGGAGGGGCCCGGCGGCCGCGCGGCTGCCCGAGCCCCGGGGCGGCGAGGAGGAGGAGGAGACGGCGGTGGCGGCGCTGAGCAACTTCCCACCGCCGAGGCGGCGGCGAGGGAGCCACGGTGTGCCGAGCCTTCCTTCCGCCGACTCGGAACTTGGCCGAGCCTCTCGGGGAAGGCGGCGACGTGCCTGCGGTGGGCTCCTGGGTCGGGCTGCTGTGTTTACCGGCTCGCGGGGGAGGAGGCGCCGCGGTGCTTGGGTGCGGGGTGGTGATGGAGATCCTGTGTGCTGCTGGGATCGGGGGACTTAGGGCTGTGAGGTCCACGATCGCTCCTGCTCGCCCACCCCGTGTGTGCGTGAGGCCGAAAAGTTGAGGTGAGGGAGAAGTGTGAGTGGCAGCGGGCTATACTGTTGTTGCTTCTGGCCCGGGATGAGTTTTTAGCTCTGTCGGGGTGAGTGTCGGGGCGTAGGTCCGTGCCCTCATTTGAGCATTCTGTTCTACGTGTACTTCACATTAGAAGATGAGACGCCTTTGAAGAATAAACTTAACGAAAACAGTTTCTTAGTCTTGCAATTACTTCTTGTGCTTATACTTGGCATTTGACCACAGGTAGAGATACCGAACTGTGAAAGTGGAATAGAATCAACAAATTCAAATGTATGCTTCTTTCGAGAATCTTGGCTTTCTCTGTAAACACAAGGTGGAAGAAAAATAGTCACGGAGTTGTATGAGAATAATTAAAATTAGACGTGAGACTGCTTTAAGAAAATATATTCTGTGACAAAAATCAGATGCTTTGTTGCATTCTTAATTGCTTATTTTTTGAAATGTGCTTACAGTGTTTTATAATGGTTACCTAACTTTGCTTCCCCTGTGAATCTGTCCTAAGGGAAACTTCATATTTTGTATATTAGCTGTTCTAGCTTCACAAAGATTTAATATAGGCACTGGAAGAAAGGTGTTATCAAGTACATTGTGTGCCGTTCACCTTAATAGAATGTATAGTTTTGCTTTAAGTGAGCTTGCATTTCTGGATCTGTATGCATCACATAGAAGGAAATAATGTAGGACCTGGGGACAGAAAGGTTCTAGTTTTTTTTTTTTATTTACTTATTTTGGAATTTTGAAACAGGATCTGACTGCATAGCTCAGGTTGGACTTGAATTCTTTATCCCCCCTGCTGAGGCCTCTTGAGTGTTAGGATAACCAGCTAGTGTTCCACCTTGCTTTTAATGTTGGTATAGATTTGACTTTTTTTGAGGTTGTGGGAGATTTTGAGGAATGATTATTGATGATTTATGTACTCCATGTTCGTGACCCCCCCTTTATCAGCTTAAAAATTAATGAATTATGTAATTATCGACATTTTCATTATTAGATTTGCAAATGTTAATGTATAACACAAATCTAAACACAGAAGTCATTTGTTACTCTTTTCAAAATAAAGTACTGGGATTAGGATCAAGTGATAATTTAATGAGTTCATGCCCTTACCACTTGATGTCATTAGAAAGACTGGGTAGAATTATGAATATGAATGAGACTCTAGCTGCCTTCAAGGGAGAAGCAGGCATGGCCACAGATAATTGCAACTCGAGCTTGCTGTGGCAGCATGGGGTGTGTGTGAAATATACTAATTTGAAGGAAGCTGTGAGTGAGTGTGGAGCTGTGACACTGTGTTTGGGCCTTAAAATTGTTCATAGGCACAGGGGGCTGGGGACAGTACTTTTGTAAGTGGAGGGCAGCTGACACTGTCACATGGCTGGGTGTTGGAGCACCTGTCGAGCTGGATGCAAGGCTGCTGTGGAAGAGGAAGCTGTGAGAGTAGGCGGAGAGCAGGCCGTGGGGGTTCGGTTCCCAATGCCTGGTATTTGGCATTGAATCAGTTGGAGGTGTGAAGGCCCAAATGTATCTCTTCCATGGTGGTAAGAAGACCGCAAGTAAGAATGCTATGTTTACCAAACAAATTATAAGCCGGGCGGTGGTGGCACACGCCTTTAATCCCAGCACTAGGGAGGCAGAGACAGTTGGATCTCTGTGAGTTCAAGGCCAGCGTGGTCTGTAGAGTGAGTTCCAAAACTATACCAAAACCCTGTCTTGAAAACACAAAACAAACAAACAAAACAAAAACAAAAACAAAAAAACAAATGGAAACAAATTATAACTCAATAGTTAGCTGGCTATCATCTCTGCTACTGAGGGGGAAACAGATGCATACAATGGAAATCAGTTTATACATGGCTTTGTAATTTTTCTTACATTGGAGTATGGGCGTGTCTGGTAATCTTGTAATTGGTTTTACGTGAAATAAATCAAGACTGTAAAAGTGACTCAGGGAGAAATGGGAAGCTCTCCAATTATTTCTGTGTTCCCTCTGATCCATCCTGTAATCTTTTCCCTGCTGGGAATAGAACACATAATTTCTATGGTATAGTTTTTAGTTCAGTTTTATTTTCTTCCCAGAATAGAACAAGTATTGGTTTACTTATAAAGGGTATCCCCAAACAGTATACACAGTTAAAATAAAGGGAGGGCTGAACTTTAAACAACACAACAAAATTCAGGCCATTGCATAATCTGTTACTGTGAATGTATTTGAAGGTGAGGTTTGCTATGGATAAAGTGTCATGAGAAAAAAATCTACACATGAAGAAAATTAATTGTAATAGTAAGATGGTAAAATGAGAATAACCATAGTTTCAGGTAAACATATGTTAGGTTTTAGTCATCTTAAATATTAGTAGACTCTAAAACAATTTAACCCTCAAATCACTATCATAGTGCTTACAGAGATATCACCCTCATACCATCAGTTTTGAGTACTTGTAAAAAAGTGAACCTTGTTACAATGAAGTTTTTTTCCCTTTCTAATTTCTCTCTTAATACTAAAAAGACCTAGATTGTGATCAAGTTTCTAATATTTTGAAACTTACCCCCTAAAAAAAGAAAACTAGCTATAGTTTACTTTTAAGTCTACTTTGTGTAGTACCATTTTGAATTCTTCGCGGGGATTCAGTTAATTGATGGGACTCCCATTTTGAGAGCAGGGAAGTTTAAGTGATTTTAAGTAAGCGGTTGAAAATATATTTTGGGAATAATAATGTATATTTGAGTCCCCCCCCTTCTTATTTACCAATATTGTTTTTTTCTTCAACTTTCATACTTTTTTCTTTATTCCAGCAGTTGGCATTTAATAATAATATTTGATACTGTTAGTATGTTCCAGTGTTGACCCTTTAAGAAAGTTGGCACTTTCTTTGGAAGTGGCAATTTGGGGATAGATGTCATTTTCCAGTTGCAAGGAATCTATAGGCTCAGAAAACAATTTCATTGACAAGCATTCCCTTTGTGTTGATCCACAGTTTCATACTTGGGGTCTTATTTTTGGAATCAAGTATGCATTATTTTTTAATGTGGAGTGACTCTGGAAGGCCTGGAAACTAATGGGAAAATATGTAATAAGGCCTGGGGTTATAGCTCAGTGGTAGAGTGCTTGCCTAGCAAATACTGGAGGAGAGAGGTGTATGTGGCGATTATTTTTAGATACTCACCGTTAAGCAGGTTTTCCTAACTCACTTCTCAAAGATGAAGTTTAGAAACTGTGTGTTTGAAGGTCCCTGCTATTATAGGACCTGGGGTTAGCGCATACTGACTATGTTCCTAGTGGTTATATCTCCTCATCCATTCCAGTCCCTCACCTTAGCATCCCTAACCATCAAGTGTTAGTGTGTTTTGAGTAGAAAGAAATACATTTTAGCCATTGTCTTTAATAATGATGTATGACCTACTTAGAATTAAGTTTAATAAATTTGTTGACTGAATCATGTCAACTTTTATTTTTATAGTTTTCAGTGGCTTAGGAAAAAAATATCACATCAGTTATATATATTTTTAAACTATCTAATGATTTTTTTCCTCTAGTATAGTAATGTCAGACTTGAAGTTGTGTTCAAATTTTTGTTTGCATTTAACCAATTCTGGATTGCCTAGAAATACTTTGTTTAGGTTATAGCTACATTGTGTGTTGGGGAAAGAGGAGAGGAGAGGAGATTGAGGGTTGGGGTTGATTCTGCCATTACGTTCTTCATTGCGATTCAGCCACCTGTTGTGAAAGTGCCGAGGTATGATGCCATATAGATCTTCAGAAATTGCAGGTATGTGTCAACTGCTAGAAGGCTAATTGTCCTGTAGAATAACCCAGGATTCTTGGGAATACTCAGTGTATGAAAATGCCTCTTAAGTGACCTCTGCCTAAACCACTCTTGAGTTTGAATGATGCTTTCTTCTCTCTGTAGAAGTGACAGAGCAAAGCCCATGCTGCATGGGGTGGCAGTAATCTACTCTAGTTTCCTCTTGGACTTTCATTCCTACCAGTTGTCCTTCCCCCCAAGGATAATTAGGATTTATGCTCCACAAACCATTGATGGCAGTTACATTTGATTTTGTAATCACATATTGCAGTAAAACCCTCAGCAAATTCTGAGGTCAGAAACGTGTTTGTATGAGAACCATTTGACTGTTGGAAACAGCAGTGTAGCAAAACCAATTACAGTTGAAATATGGGGAGGATGGAATGTCAACCCAGGACAATGTATGAAGACCCACAGTAAGGCTGCTTAAGTGTTGTGAGATGTACTGCAAGATAGCCCTGCAAATGGACCTTGTTTTGGAGCCGTAAATTATTAGTGTCTGTGGGGTTTTTGTTGTTGTTCTGTAGATTAAAATTTTTGAAAGTTAATTGACATCTGTTGATAAATAAACTAAAAAGGAATCTCCTAAAATCAAATCTTCTAGTTACATCAGTGTTGAGTCTTACTTAATAGTAAGTATCTCTTAATGAGTGGATTGTTTGTTGTTCTTTTTGTTGCTTTGTTTTGTTTTGAGATGGTTTTGTTCT